AAAAATTTTATGCTGAAAAAGGTCTCAGAACTAATGCATGCACACATATAATGAAGATATATTTATGTGCATAAATATCCCAAAGCACAAATATTTCATACAGCAAAAACTTTTTTCTAAATATCCCAAATAGCAAGAACTTTTTATAAAGCAGGTTTATTGGCTTGCTGAACACTTTTCAATTAAACGCTGGGAAGAGGGAAAAAAAAACAGCAATGGAAAAGCATTTCCAGATGAGTCTGCTCTCCCGAAATCTCTTTTGGCTCTGAGCCACTGGGGAAGAACATTAGGAAAGCAACATGACTACATACTTCCCACAATACAAGTCACAGAATAAAATTAAATGAGTTTCCTGACATTAGATGCCATGCATTCCCCCACTCCTTACCTAACCCAAATCTTGTAAAGCCTAGAGGGATGATGTAGAAAGAAGACCTGGCTTATTCCCAAAACACCTGAAAGCACAAAATTCCAAAAYGGATGAGAGAAAATAAAATGCATCTGTTTTGCTTTTGCAACCAGTACCCTTTTTTGCTCAACTATAACCTGGGACTCTGAAAGAATAGAGATACCACAAAGAAACTATACATTATTGACATAACTCTTTAWTAAAGTTGTGAGTCTCAAATCTTTCTGTCATTTTTCTTCTATGACRATACGAAAGTGACATATTGACCTTTTTAAGGCGCAATTATTTGCCCTAGTTCATATTTAATTAACTTTAAAGGASAGCTGTGGGCAATAATGCAAATCTCAGTAACTTAATTGAAATAGGCATATTTAATCCACATATTCAGGTTCCATACACACAAGTATCTATGTATGAAARCAAAATTAGTTACAAAAATTACTTTAAATGTGTAAGTTTGGTCTACGGAAACCAGCTCGTAGCCTGTTCAGTTGGGCTTGATTTCTAAAATAACAACTGAAACATTTACAGGTACAACTAATGCACAGCTAGTACACAATATGGAAAAAGTCGTATCTTAGCATGCTTTACTCAAAGTACTATATGACAGTGGCCCACTAGTTAAAACACTTATGCTTATTTATGAGGTTAATCTATATTAAGAAAAAATAAAGGTACTAGGATACTCTTCACTGAAGCAGATAAATATAACAAAATCCTATTGAAAAAAAATGTCACTCAAATTCAAACAAGAAATAGAGTTTTTGTTCTAAAACATAAATGGGGTTAACCCAGAAAAGACGCTTCCAAGCGATGCAACAAACTCTTTTCTCACTGTAAGGCTTTAAATAAAGCATCATGATTCCTCTAAAAGGAGGCCGTTTTCCAGCCAGTCATGGACCGAGATTAAAAGTCTGTTGAATGAAATCTCTGAGCAGCGTTTGCTTTCTGAAGCTACAAGACTTGTCATGGCAACAGAAGAAAACCACCAGAGATTAGGCYTTCAGACCTTCTTTTTTAAACGCTTTTATGAAACTAAATCTTATCTATAATGTAGTCAGCACTAAAGCAGCTATTCCCATTTTGCCATCATTCCCTCCACAAGTTTGTAACTATAAATACTTGCAAACGCGTTTGTCTTTCAACACGCACATTTAGCTGTTATTTGTTGAGCGCACAGCAGCGATATTCACGGACTTGTTTAGATTCCATGCACCGAAAAAGAAAGGCATCATCCCCACGTAGGAAAAAATCCCTTTCGAGTCCCAAGCACTGCTTGTTCCTTCATGCCACTTGGTGCCATGCTGATAGAAGATACATCTCTTTTCTGACAACCGTCCCAAAGCTCAGTCTCATCACAGAAATGCAAACATTGGTGACTATATGAACGCCAACRGTTCAAGTAAAGCTACTTGCCCAAGTAACTCAAATGACCATAAAGAACACAAGTACTACAGATACAAATTCCCTGCCTTTTTCAACATTTTGAAATAGCTGTTGAATATTTGCACATTTAACCCTTTGCACAGATGTAGAGGGAAGAAAGGCACAGATTGTAAGAGTGGTTTGAAATCTTTAAGTTACCAAAAAGCCAAGCCTTTTAGCGAGCACACCTTGAACTCCCTTGAACTCAGGTGGAGCTGAAAGCCCCAGGACACTTGAGCATCTCTTTCCATCAGCTGAGCACTGCAAAGTGCCGGCCTTGAGGGGCTGAGATGAAGAAATCAAAGCTGAGAACASTGAGGTAAGGAAAGGGTATGGAAAGCTCACGTTCAAATATGTCAGACATGGTGCTCTCAACAACCAGAAAAAAAAATGTAAAACTGTAAAATGCACAGTGCAGAACAACTATAAAGTCTCAGAATACAAAAAAAAAAAAAAAACCATTAAAATGGTTACTAGCATGAGATAACAGAGCTTTCAAGTGCATAGTTACACCTATACATTGTTATCCTTAATAGGTTTTTTCAGGGAGCGTTGTTAGTTGTTTTCCAGGAAGTATAGATGAGACCTTACTCTTATGTAAAAGTGAAAAAAACATATTTTTCTATTAAAGACTTAGAGGTGAATCAGTAGTAATTAGGAAATTAAATTATACTGTGGAAGCTCTGATTACAGAAGGAGGATGAAAATTGGATTTTTCTACAGAAATCCATTTTTTCTGGAGCAAAAAAAGGTTTGCACTGAGAGTCAGGAGATGAAAGACAACACACCCTTGCTTTCACCTTTCCTTTACTGGCAATATACTTTTGCCATTTTTCTCTTAAAGTAGGTTCCTGGCTCATTAAACTGTTAAAACCACCTGGCTTTTTTCATCCTCTGTACTGCATCACTGAATTTTGGTGTTCAAATACTGTTTCTTATGCTAACAAAATCTAGCCCTGTTACTAAAGCAAGGAGAATGAGAACTAAAACATTTGAAATGAATGCTGAATTTCAAGAAATTTCTATATATGATTCAATAACGGTAGTAAAGATGGTGGAAGCTTTTCCTGCATTTGCAAACTATCTGCACATTGCCCTGAACACCATCAGGGATGTTTACTATTATGAAAGATTTTCAGACAAATGTGTGATCCAGAGCAGCRGATCAACTTGCTTCTCTAGCAGAAAGGGCAAGAGGAAGTAACAGTAAGAAGGGAAGAGATGGACAGCTCTGTAGCAACTGCTAAAATTATCTTCTTTACTACAATCTAACTTGTGCTTAGACACCTCTGTGCTTGCACTAGCTAAGAGTACTACAAATATTTCTCAAAGATTCATTAAGCAAAGATATTTCACTTCCTGGTTAGCTTGGACTAACATAAAAATAAGCAAGTTGTAATACCAACACCTTTGGTTTCTTAGTTTTCTGAGAAGTTGCTCCTCCACATTGTCTTCACAACCACTCGTTCCTGTGAATTTTATTAGCCCAGTAGCACCAGAAAGAAAAGAGAGCAAGAGTGGAGCTGCCAAATGCAAGATCAAATTGCACCACCACTTAGCCATGTACCACAATACATGCGTAAACACACTAAGGCAGTATTGTCACAACATACTAAAAATAACAAATAAAATAAAAGCACACAATAAGGAGCAACGAGGAAACTCCATACTGAGTCTCACAGCACAATTTTAACCCCCCCCTTTTTTTTTTTTTTATAATTACTCAGGCATTCAAGTACTTAGAAATAACAGAATCTCATTCAGATTTCTACAGAAAGTGTCACAGATCTTGCTTGCTTTAATTTATCAGAAAAAAATACAAACACGTTTCCTATAGAAATACATTTTTCTTGCCAGTTACATCCTGGAGGACAGCTACTCCTGTATCCCTGGTCTCACTGCACCTAACTTCAGGGGTATCACAGGAAGAACTGACACCGGCTGCAATGCACAACTTTTCTACAAAGTAAGTGTTGTTCTTCACAGCAGGCTCACAGACAATTTCCCTTCTAATACATAGAAAAAATAAAATCAATCAGAACTATTCCAGGAGATTTGACAGGGAATTTAATGATTGATAAAGAGTCAGAGCTGTTGGGGTTGGTTTCCTTAGAAACCAAGGAAAGGTTTCTACTCCATCTTCATGTAAACAACAGTGCAAAGAACTGAGGAATGTCCTGTTATCTTCCTTCCTCAGGATGCATATCAAACAATATAGCTATCCTTTTCCACTTCCCAATTGCCAAAATTAAAAACATTTGGCTTTACATGTAAATTCATGACATTTTGAAGCTATCCTGAAATCAATGAAAGATCATTTTTCTACCRCTGAATATTCTAAACAAGCTGAAATATAATTTCACAGTATTGGAAATCAAGGGCTATTGATTGTTGAAAGAGAATTCAAAGTGGAAATTTTTATTAAGTCAGGCTGTTTTTCAGCACCAATGCATGACATGAGCTTCAATAATGCTTTCCAGACAGGCCAGCCTTCTTAGCCTAATCAGGGTATTTCTGCCCAGCGCACAGGACTGAGTCCCTGTAGAATCAAGTCCTGTTTCCTTTTACTGACCTCCAGCACATTAATTTCTCTCTATGGACCAGGAATGCTGATTTGCAAAGGCCTTTGTGATAAKCAGGTGAAAAACACTTAGAACACTCAGTCTAATCCTTACTCATTAATACCAGAATAACTGGATCAGTATTATTGTTTATTACTATAAAACAATTCAACCTATAAAAAACTGTTTTGAGATCACTGCCCAGTTAATAAGCAATACAAAGTCTTAAGTACAAGAAATGACAGTTTAATCTGTATCCCACTCACTCCTTCAGAGAACAGACACATGAGCCTCATTACCTTCAGTTCATTGATAAAGTGAGGATGCCTTCAGCCATAACAAATTCTTTATTTCATTTCTCTAGTTCATAATAAAGCCCAAAACGCAGCAAGCAAGTCTAGGTTCTCTTTATTGATTTGATTGGTGCTCCCTGACTTTCAACAATTAATACATTCCTCTTCTCATATTTTACTATGTTTTTCATTACTACAATTGTCAAGCAATAGAAGACCTTAAACTGTTTTCTACATTTGCTGCCTACTAAGCCTACTGGCAGTTCAAGCAAACTGTTAGCAGCTCTGGAAGCTTTCCTCCAAACAATCTGAAGTCTACATAATCATGAATCTCTGCCAGTTCCTTTTAATTCACAGCACAAACAAAAGATCACTCRAAGCCCTTGGAAAAGCTTTAAAGCAACTCTCACTCATTTTAGAAGTATCTACTTTAATATACTCATTTTCTGCCAGGCCGGAGCACTGAAGTTAAAGATAAAAAATAAGCACACACTCATACTTTTTTTCATAATTTATAATATATTGCAGAAGTTTCTTCAGACAGTGTTTCTTGAGCAGTTAAGACCAGCAAAGGGAGAGCTCGCTAGCTGCCCTGCTGGTCGTTACCATCATTGATAGCACTTCACTTTCTCAAAAGTAGGAAGCTCTGGATGTTTAGACTTTGTGGGAACTTGAGAGTAGTTGAACTTTCAGCCTAGACTATATGCCCCACTGTTGAAAGAACTGTGAGAAAAATAGTTAAAAGCTTACTATGTCTGCCATATCTGTGTAATGCTTTTGGTTTTATTCTTCTGTGTCCGTCCTGTGGTTCTGTAGAATTATGATATCTACAAATATCTGTGATATCTACAAAAAAAAGGGGAATGAAAGTGAAGTAGGGAAGAGGTGAGAGGTAGAGAAATGTTAAAAGGAGAAATCAGAGGATTTCTGATTTCTAAAGGAGAATAAGGAAGGATGGAACGTGGAACAGAAAATATATATATAATAATTAGAAATACACTCATACAATACAATTGTCTTGATGTTTTTACCTCTGCAGCGCAAGTTCATTTTGGTCCTTGCATACACGAGGAAGATGACAAGGAGGGAGGATAGGCTTTCAGCTGTTAGGAAGAAGCATTGGCCAGCTTTCATTTACTAAGAGGAGCAAATATGCTTACCAAATGAGCCACACCAAGCACGAGAAACTTTTTAACTGAGAAAAGGCACTGGCAGAGCAAAGCTCTCAAGAGAGATCTGTGAAAGTACTTGCATAAATTACTTCAACCACCCTAATAAAACAATCAGAGCAATTGTTCTGTACACCTGGAACGCCTGGTTTTCTGCTCTTTGGTTCACTGATCGCATCCTCATGTTTCAGTTTCATTAGAAACCTGATGTTCTCCAGGCCAGTCTTTCAATATTGAAGAGAARTATCCTGGTAAAACCTCCACATTGAAGTGCACTAAAAAAAAAAAAAAAAAAACACTGAATTGATGCATGAGAAAGCATATGGTACACATATGTACTTTGAGTTGTATCCCTTTGCCATCGCTCTTGGAGAATACCTTACTGTTCCATTCTGAGGAAATGAGGAGTAAATACAGCCTCCAGGATTTCCTGGTGCTCTTGCCTTGTTATGGTTTTACTAGTTCATTTTGTCATGTAAACACTTTCACAGATGCATTTGATGACCTTCTCTATGGAAAAAGTTCCATTACACAACTTTCCTTAACAGATTATTTATACCAAGGGTTGATTTCTTGGGTGAATGTTTTCTCCCATTTGCATGAAATGCTTACAGATGTTGATGTCAGCATAAATTAATATTTTAAAGGCCAAATTCTTTACTCATTTGTTAACCCATAGGCCACCTTCTCTGCACACTAAATGAAAAAGCCTGTCGCAGTTACATGTGAACCATAAGGCAACACTGATCAAGGCCATCCCATCAATAAGATTATTCTCAAGAATAAATCTAGAAATCCAGATATTTTTCAGAAAAATAATGTGCTTAATGTGATAGACTGGGCTAATTATGGTATAGTGATCCCGGACTTAAATGCTTGAATCTGTTAGCAGGATATTTGTGACTTAGCAAAGATTTTTGCAAGAACCTTAAACAGGCATGGAAAAAATGACTTTTGCACCCRGAGTATTTTGCCCCAGGGCAAGGCAGAGGCTGATGTGAAGAAGCTCAGGGAACTGAACACAAGAGTACTGGCAAGCACTTTGCAGGAGTGGAGATGCATCGCTACCTTCCTGTGCTCCTGTTCAAGGCCCTGTGTGCTTCTTGGCATGAAAAGCCTCGTGCTCACATGGTACACAGTGATGAACCCCTGTGTTTCCCTAAGCTTTTGCTAGACAACCAAACTTTGGATTTCATCTCATTGTGGTCTGACCAAGTTTGGTAAACATGGAAAATAGCAATAGATTTTTTTTTTTTTTAAGTTTAAACTGCAATTGCATTTATAAAGGCCAGTTTGTGATCAACTTACCATATGTCATACATCTGGTAACAGAGATTGCAATTAGAATCCATTTTTTTTTTTTTTTTTTTTTTTTTTAATATTATGCCTCTCCCAGAAGGGAAATTGAGAGATGTTCGTTCATACAAAATGACTTATTTTATTTAGCTAAATGCTGGCAACAATATCATCAAGAGACCTCTCTACATTAGGCACTATTTAGTAGATTTGAGAAGTACATCATGTCAAGTGGCACTTTCCTGAGGGATGAGTTTAACGCTCAGTTTCTCTGTTCAGAGATCTTAGGAGACAAAACTGCTCAGAGAATCTGTCACAAAGCAGCTGGAACCAGCAACAGGCTGTGAAAGAGACTGTAACCCAGGTGGGTACTGGAAATGTAATTTGAGTCTCACCAGCATTAAAGCACCAGGAAATCTGGAGACAATAGCAGCAGACACCTGTATCTATAAGCAGTGGGAGGTGAAAGACAACAGGTAGCAGGCATATTTATTTCTGGAAATTGCTATTTCTCAAATTGTTTTTAGACGATTAAATGAAGTATAAAAATGCAGAAGTTGTCTGAGATCATTTTAAGAGTAAAATCCTAGTCAAGAGTCAATCTCTTATGAGTGGAGCTTTTTTTGGACTGTATTACAAGCTAGGTCTACAACTGAACGTGCAGAAAAACTGAAAGACTTAAAGACTATATTCGGGAAAGTAAAATTAGCCTAGTTTGAAGGGTGAATGGGATCCTGACACCCAGAACATAAGAAAGAATCCAAAATAATGCAAAAATAGAGAAATAGAATTTGAACTTAAAATTTGAATCTGCAAAACAGAAAAGAGAAAAATGTCACTAAACAAGGCCCCAGCATTTGGGGAAAAATGCAAGAACTTCAAAGGCTTCTAAAAGTTCATAAGAATTTGGGAATATCAACAGAGCTTCCAGAGCATAAACACAAAAAAAATAACAGTACCAGTAACTCCAAGGAATTTTTCGCAGAAGTGGTGAACAGCATTACACCAAAAGACAAATGAGCTACATCAGAAAGGAAGCGCCCCATCAAGTTTGAGGCATACATTCTTGGCTTCACATTACAGCAGATTCATAAAGCCAAATGAATATTCCAAAGTACTAGAAAGTTTTCATGTCTTGGCTGGGCTCTGCATTTCTCTACCACCTCTGTTTATATGGTATTTATGTAGTTGTTTGGAAAGTAAGAACTAACAACAGATTTGTTGAAAAAAAATCTGAAGGCTGTTGCACATCCTGCTCCCCGTCTCAGCATCCACCTTGCTAAGGCCACTAATAGAGCATCACACCCATGGCACTGTATCCAAACCTTCATATTTGCACTCCATGTAATTTTATTTTCCATGTACTAGCCTGTGTAATATTTGATTTAGGAATCATCATCCYGATGCTTTAAAGCTTTTAGAAACAGGAAAGCAGAAGACTTTCAAGTTACTTTTGGAAAAGTACCTAAAAAAAAGCCAAAAATTATCTCAAGCAGCTCTGCCACATGAAAATGTCTTCTTGCATAGATAAAACTATAGGCCTAACCATATAGGAGCATCTATTCCAGGGGCATAAGAAAGAGAGAAAAGAAACAAAAAGCACAGTGCCCGGCAGCAGTGTCACATTATAATCTTCATTATCCCAAGAGAAAAGTGTATCAAGATATTAGAGCTAAGTGCTTGCCAGATCTGACATTAGACCATAGTACAGTGGCAYGACTTTAAGCAGTTATCAGTAAATTGTGTTTTGAAACATGTTACAAGTTATTCCAGTTTCTCTCTAATTTATTCTTACTGTTTATCTAACAGAATTAGTTTTATTATATCTGAATTATCGAGGTTWACATGCTTTAGCACATAGCATTGCAAGAGGCAAAGCCTGCAGTGCCTCATCCTAAAAGAACATCATCAACTGAAGTTTTCCTTAACAAAACAAATAAAGAAAAGCATTGTTTAAAGAAGACAGCTCTGTTTAAACATTATGTCAAGCTTCCAAAGGCTCCTTCACTCAATTTGTTGAAAGTGTCTAGTAAAATATTCTGTATCATTAACCAGGCCTAAATATTTTTTTCCTATTTTATTCTACACAAACTTGTGTTTGGCTGGTTGATTTTATTTAATTCAAAACTTTTCAATCATCCTAAGAAATGAAATGATGTGCTTATGCCTCACTTAGAATACAGCAGACAATTCCATGAGGAGGGATTTTCCCGTTATGCACATYAGACCTGTGGATGGGATGGAAAATATGACCAGCAGCTTGTTTCAATGTTCTGCTCTAGAGTCTTTCAGGACTTTGGGAAAAGAGGCCAATTTTCTCTTCTCAAATATCTGAGGAATGAAGCACATCTCCAGCTGTTACCGGCATCATCTGGGCAGATTTCTGCCGCTTCCCACATGAGGAGTTTTACCACTGAACTAAAGGGAACAAGACCAACTGATGGCACCCACAAGAGCATTTCACAGTCCTATGTTTTCTAATGGATAACAAGTTCCCACCTGTCCCCACAGTTATCCATCAGACTCTGCCTTCATAAACCCCTGTGTCTTCTGTACATAAAACCAGACTTTAAACATCATGTCATAATTTCAAAATTTAACAGATGAAGTCATTAGTTTGCACTGGCTCCATCTGCTCAGCTATGATTTTCTTCCTGCAGGGCTAATAAATGCAAATGGGCAAGACAATTATACTCAATTATTTCTTTTTACTTTTAAAATCTCCTGGAAGTTTGGATGGGTGGATAAATGAAAGAAGACAAACAAATGTGATAAAATTATCATCTAACCCAAATAAAGAAAATAAGCAATTTATGATAATCTTGTGATGTGGAATTTTTGAAGAGAATTTACTGTAAACCATTACTGGATAAAAACTATGACAAAAATACAGTAAGTAAAATAAATTAAAAGATATGAGCTCTAAGATGTGCTAAAGCAATTTTTTTTTTCTATGCGTCATATCTTCAAACAAAAATTCTTTCAATTTCATAAACAATTTCTGGCATTGAGGAAAGAAAAATAATTTTTAGCCTGACAAGTCCCACTTGAGAATTCCCTGTTTTCTCAGTCTTCCCATCATTCTTCCTCCCCTCATCACAAAAGAAAAACAGAAAACCCCACAAATACACATACATCTCAGCAGATATCAGCAAAGAGCTTTGAAGTGTGTTAATAAAACCAGCTAAAATCCCTGAAACAATAGGTTGAGTGATCATTTTGGAAACTTGAAGAAACATTATGAATCTTTAATACATCCTTTTTATGAACATAAATGCATCCTTTTTATGAACACACACTATCTTCCATAATTTCAGGAAAGTGCTTGGCAGTACATCCATGGCAAGGAGCAGTCGGAGCAGGAAGGGAAGAAAGGCACAGACTCTTTGCAGAGCACATGCATCACTTCTAGAAGCATTTGACAGAGTTCAGGGACTGAATACTGGCTGATAGGACGTCAGTGGGTCCTATGAGATCCTTAGTGGGTCATATATAAACAAGACAGATATTTACCTGTAGCTTTACATACATGCTATGTTTCTCTGCTTTAGGAAGTTTTCATATTTGCCCTAACTGATGCTCTCTTTTGAAGGCATCCAAAAACAAATTTCATTCATGGGWTATTTCGCAAACTTTAAGCTAGCAGGAGTATCTACATTCTTCAATACAGTTAATGATATTAATAGTTACAGGGCTAAAAGTCTGTTACTGCTCAATTAGTAGAAAACCAAAAAGTGCTGTTACTGGAGGCTACCACTCCAAGACAAAGGGCAATTGACCAATAAAACTGCCACAAATTTCATGGGAAGTCAGTGCCATCTGAGCAGAGGTAGCTACAAATTCAATTAATGAGACAGAAAATATCAATTTATAAGGAAAAGTTGGAAAGCAATACTTTCAATGAAATATTGGGTAGGGAGAGTTTTTCAGSTCAGCAGCAGAGATTTTCCAAAGTACATTGATGGTCAATGTTTGAACCCTCAATCAACATTACAGAAAGCAGGGACTTGAACTCTTATTACCAGTACAGCACAGCTACAAAAAGCACATATTGCTAAGTCTCCCTCACTGCAGCTTTTCCATTTTGAATTATAAGCTCCCTTGGTAGCAACAGCTTTATTAGTTTCCCTCAAATTCTACATCAATACCTCAAAACTACCACTTGAAATCACAATCTCTCACAGGTCAAAGCCAGGAACTTATGCTCAAACACAACTCCTAATGGAAATTATTTGTATACGGGCATACTTTTCAGTGCAGAGTTACATGAAGAAATTACAGAAAGCTCAGTGCAATAATTCAGAAGGAATCAAAATTCCAGTAAGGCAGCAGTTTGGGGTTTCCACCTGTAATTTTAAGTTCATTTTCTGCTAGGAAAAAGCAAAATAGAAAACATTATTTAAAAATAAAAATAAAGAACAATGTGCAGGAAAGAATAAAGAAATATATATTATCACATTCTCCTGTGGTTTTTAATTGATTTAAAAAACTTTAATGCCTTGCAACACTACAGGCAATGATTTCACTGTAGTAGTAACAGATGTAAAGAATCACATCCTCCCAAGGGTGTTCCTAATTATAGATGAGTAATACGATGGTGAACACTGCACACAATTACGTGATGATTTATGTAAACTGCAATCACTGCACTGTTGAAACAACCATCTCAAGATGAACTTAAAACATATGCAATAAAACTATTCCAGATACAGAATAATAGCATATCAGGCTGAAACCATAAAARTTATCCATTTTAGAAAGGCTATACATGGCTTGTCCTTGGTTACATTTGTACCAATGTAACTTCTAGATTGAATTCTAGATATCATGTATTTTATTTACACAGGTTATTTACCTGTAATAGACTTTTTGCTCACAAACTTGGTCTTTTTCTTGGTATAGAAGTAGTTTAATCTTGATAAAAAGTAGTACAGCCTTGGAGGTTGTGCTTCTGTACATGAAGGCTTATATGGAAACCTTTATGTTATGCGTGTATGTACGCACAGCCTTTGCGTGTGTGCACATCTGTGTGCATACCCGTACTTCCAGCAGAAAAATARCTTGGACTCCTTCACTACTTCCTTTACTATTCAGTCCCAGAAAACATACATCCTTGATGCAGAATACCAAATTCTAAAAATGGATAAGATTTATTGCTACCATTTGTTATTAGTGCACGTTAGACGTTAAGATCTTTTTCACAAAAGATAGGAACCAACTTGGAGCTGTTCTTCTTTACCGTACCAGTAGAGCAGCTGAGACTCACCAAGTACTACTTGTCAGCATGAAATGAAGTTTTTTAAAAATCTTGTCTAGGAGTTCGGACCAAGCAAGCAGCTCTCCATGGAGCAGGTCCTGTTTAACCTTCATTCCAGACCACCCCATNAAAAAAAAAAAAAAAAAAAAAAAAAAAAAAAAAAAAAAAAAAAAAAAAAAAAAAAAAAAACCACCCACACACACACCCCACTTTCTTTGGTTTCTCTTTTTCACAAGTCAGCTGTACAACAGGCTCTTCACAGCTATCCCTTCTGTAATTCCAGAAATATTCAGAATAGATACAACACAGGGGAAGATTTACCAGCTGCTGAATGCCTTTTCAATTTCTCAATGTTGAGATTATATATTAACCTTTTTTTTTTTTTTAAATAAAGCATGTTGCTCGATCACGTATACAACAGTATACAATATATACAACAATAAAAGTCTACATTAAAGACATTATTGTTGCGAAGTCTGACATTCAGAAGTTAGAAAATGCCCGAGTTAACATTCTTTCTGGTGCACCAGAACAACAGCAACAACAACCGTGCACCATGGAACCACTACAGAGAGTGGTGACAAGGAGGCCAGTTTGATTTCACACAAGTTACATGTCAAAGAACTTACACGGCCCTTAGAACCATAAAATGCAGCCCCACCACTCTGTGAAGTACTTCTCATTTCAGCTATAAAAGTTCATAGGATTTCTTTATGGGAGAATTTGAATCATTTTTTTTAAATAAAAAGTGAGCCTTTTAAATTATTTTTACTGTAATATTATTACATATCTATAAATGGAAACAAGTGGTTTTTCTGAGATACCACTTTGAGTAAATCTTTGTCCTGAACACAAGAAATTTTTTTCAGCCTCTAGTGAAAACAATAGCTTACCATGTACCGTTTGCTTTTGACTGGGCAGCACTTTTTGCCTATTATAATATTTCAAAATTAACCAGACATTCAAACAAAATACTAATTTTTACACCTTTTCAAATGCATTCAAGTTGCCTGAAAAGCCTCATTCTGCCTTGCATTTCTTAGCCACTGCACAACCAGCTTTTAAGCTGGGAATCTGCTGCCCAGATTTTCTGGTTATTGGAAATTTTGACTATAGAAGTGACGTAAATATAAATAGAATTCTATGCAGACAAATTTCTCTTAACATAGTTAGAGGAATAAGGAAATGTGTAAGTTAAATAGGCAATTTAAATTACAAAAGAGCATGTTGTAGAAACCATTCTATGATTTTTCCCCACCAAAATCCCTTGAACATAGGGTAGTCCTATTACTTTAAATAGCCRGTAAGGTTGGGAGCCTTGTTCACTACTCATTTTTCAGGAGTGATAGACAGGAAGATTTTGGGGGCAAAATTTAAAACTGCAAAGCTGATTTTTCACGGAGCACAAAGAAACAGCCAGAAAAGAGCAGAGCCCAGGCGCTCTTTGGAAACTCTTCTTTCTGCAACCTCTACATAACCCTTAATATTGTGGTAAACAGTTTGCCAAAGTCACATGCATTGCTTCACACATGTTGCCTCACACATACACACAAAGTCACTAGCTGACAGCAAGCACGTTTTACATAAACTCTTATGCTCTGGAAAAAAAAAAAAAGAGGGAGGAGAGAGAAGAAAAAAAAAAAAAAAGACACACAAGCAAGCAAGCAAAACCTTCTAATTCCTTTTCCACAGGAAAGTGGAAATTTTCCACTTAATCATAGCTCCAGTTAAGTCAAATCTTGTGAGAATTGATGTTCTTTCATCTAAATTGAGGAATTTAGGAGCGTTGGGATTCCCAATCTAAAGCTATCACTTGATAGAATTTTCATGTATCATCTTTGGCAAAACTGACCTTACCGAGTACCATAATTTTAATGCCACCAACACATCCATTTCTAATGGATGAAGGCCACATGATTGTCATGTTAGATTGAGGAATTCAGGACTAGTAGACATTTTAATAGTCATATTAGAGTCATGGAAAGCTGCAATGTGAATCACCATTCACTCATTTACTTTGATGCTAAGGATTGGCATGCAGAACAACAGAAGCACGTTGTTGACCATCTCACAGAGAAGTGGTGGAGATGGACTGCTGATAGAGYGAAGTGTGTTATAAAATAAAATACCAAGAGGTCCTAACAATGTTGCATCTCACTATTTCCATCCTAAATCCTCACCACCCACACATGAAACATGAAGCAATCAGAAAGGGGGAAAGGAGAAAAAWATAAAAATAAATAAAAGCACGAACACTAAAGAAAAGATTAAAATTAAAAACTGCAGGAAAGCTTAGCAAAGCAAGGGTGCTAATTAGAGCTTTTGGAGTGACCTTTCATCTCTCTCTTCTTTTGTTTTCCTAATAGTTTCTTACATASAATGTTATGACTACAGATGAAGCTAAATGAATGAGTAAAAATARGAGATTTGTTCTCAAAGTGAACACTGCTATATGGATTTGAAGGGGCACCATCTTTATGCTGGGATTTACAGAGCTTTAAAATGAGGTCTCTTCACATTTAGCTCCACATTTAGACCAAGCAAAACAAACCCCCCAGGATTCTTTCATATCGCCTGATACAAGATAATATCAGAAATTCTTCAGGGGTACAAGGGGAGAACAAGACAAAAAAGCAAATAAATATATATATAAAAATCTGCTTTCATATGCTTTTCAATTCACAAAATAAAATCACTATTTGCCACAAAAAGGCTGATATCTCTACATTTGCTCGAGGACATTCCCCGCAGGTCCCTCCTCTCTCTGGTGCTGCTGTGGGCAGCACAAACCACCTGACCCTGTGTTACTGATTTACACCCAAGGGCGCTTTACTCCTTGGCTTTCTGAACCTCATAAAAGTGCCACAACCAATTGTGGACAAGCTGAAACTATAAATATTTTGGATATGCTACACTGAGGCCCCTGTTTAGCTGAAAGGAAATAAACTGCTTCAATCTTTCTCCATGCCTGCACTACGAGAGCCCATTGTGCTGAGCACCACAAACTGCACAAGACCACATGCTTTTAATCTCACTCCACAGAAAATGCTTCCTGTTGTTCAGGCACAGCCTCTTCACTTTTATTTATATTGCATTGTGTCACATCGTACATTTGCTTTGTTAGTACTGCAAACTCAAGTTCTTCCTTCAGTAATTATTATTGGCACTCTAAATGAACTCCAAAACCTCTTCAGAATCAGAAGAGGTTCTTGCTCCACATGCCCTTTCCACCTCCCAAGCATGTTATTTTATTCTTACCTCTACCAACTCCACATGCACTGTCTTGGCCAAATCATCCACCTTCCAACTTCTTCACCAGCATCTTTTGGTTTTTTGCCAGAGAAGAAACACCAGCAACTGCAGAGAAAATAGCAGAGCAGCTTGCACAGAGCTGAGAATACAGCCTCCAGATGAGAAGGTCCCCAGCAATTTATCTGCGAACTTGCCCACTCTGAACACACAGAAAGGCCTGAGGTAAGTGGAGTTTATAATTAGTTATTGTTCTCAGGTGGCTTCAATCTTCCTTCACACGCACAAAAAAAAAAAAAAAAAAATTAGTGTAGCTAATTGGAGCTGACTCCTGGGTACAATATGCTCACAGAAGAATCTTTCATGTTAATTGCTTTATTATTTAAAAAAAAAAAAAAAGACTCCATCAGAATTGGGTGCTTTTTTCCACTCTTTTCACCTATGACAGGAGTTTCTATTCAGCTTGTTATCTCTCTCACAGAGCTGCTCACCTGGTGTTTCAGCCACCCAGGATAGAAATTTCACCCACCTGTGATGGAGATTAGAGGCACCTGGGGAGCTGGACAGTGGACCTCTCAGAACTAGAAGTCTTTAAAGGACTTGAACCTCCACCCCCCCCAACGGCAGGGACTGTGTCCTCATCCCACTGATCCCCATCATGTCTGACATTGTGTCCGACCTGGGAGGGTCCCCTTGGGGGGTGCCCACACGTGGTGTTTGTGTGGGGCCAGGAGGTATCTGCTGTGTGAGGAGGAGGAGGATAAGGATACACATGGCATTGCCTCCTGGCACAGGCACCGTCCAAAGGGAGGCTCTTCTGGCAGGGGTCTGCTGTGTGACACAGCAAACTTCTTTACCCACTTTATAGATTTATTCATTTTTCCTCCAGCCAAGTTTTCTCCTTGTTTGGAGATACGGATTAAAGTATGGAGATACAGGCTAAGCTCATTCGCTCAGGCCTTTGCACTGGACTCTGTCAAAATCCATTTTGAAATCAGGAGGGCTCTATCTGCACCTCTCCCCATCACACAGACTGCCTAAAAATAAGTTTACCAGGCAGCATCAGACTTGAGATTTTACCTTTTATGAAGTTATGCTGGCTTGGATTTGTAGTGCAGGATTTTTCCAGATGTTTCATGTTCTCACTTCTTATTAAGATATCTGGGACACAAGCCGAGGATTAAGATCGGTCTCAGACAGATGCTCGCAACAGGCAAACAACAGTCTCCATTTTATTTTATTCCCAACTCCCAAGCTTTTTCTAAGGAAAGCAAATAAAAATGCATGCAAATAATRAGTTAGAACATCATCAGCTATTCCTATTTATCTCTTTGAAATTAATGATCTTTTTAGATTTCATGGTTTAGCATGTATTCTGTGAAACGACTGTAATGCCCCATCTGTAACAGAGGATTGCAATTGGTGCACAGACTCCACAACTCTGAAATTACAGGGCTATATTTTTTAGCTGAAGAAGCGAAATAAATTGAGCAAAATKTTGCAGTAGATATGACAGTAAAGCACTAATTACTACATTGAGAGGAGCCRCAGGCACTGTCATCACAGTTGGGGTACATTTATACATCCCAGAAGCACAGCATACAGAACAAAATCAAACAAAAACAGTCATAGCCCTAGGAAGAAGGCTCTGACCCAGAAGGCTAATTTTCTCTAAATGAATATCCTAAAATTCAGTCCACCCTCATAAACTAGTGACTTCTTAGCACTAGCAGGACTAATTAGAGCACAAACTGCTAGCCAAAGACCAGTGCAGCTTTTTGAYGCAGTAGCTGGTATTCCACCACTGGCATGTCAGCACTACAATGCATGTCTTGCTTTGGTTTTGTTTTTCTGTCCTTTAACAAAACATCAACCTTTCAAATTAGTAACACTGAGGAAGGTAATTCTTAATAAAGGCATGCAAATTGGAAGAATCATCCCTGCTCAATTAGACTGAGAAGTATAGTTACTGCTTGATAATCTGCAATGTTTTTATTACAAAAGTAACCTAATTTTTTTAAGGTATGAATCATGCTAACATTCACTTGGCAAATACCTTTCTTTATTTGAAGACAGGAATATTACAAAGATTACAAAAGTTCAGGTGAGAAATATGTTTATCCCTTCTATATTTTTAAATCATGTAGTGCATTCATTTTAGACTCCCACAGAAATAAACTGGTTTGCAGCAGGCCATACACACAAGCAGTGATGCTTCAGCTAAACATGGTGAAACAATAACATTTACGTGGAATTGAAATGAAGCAGCAAGAGATGTTTAGATGGATTCACTTACATCAAGTTGAAAGTTATTTGCTAGGARGAAGTAATTTAAAATCAAACAGTATTTCTTCAAACACAGAGTGGTTTATTATGGCTCTGTCARATATTCTCCTAGAACTTAAAACTGCTCCATCTAAGTCAATGGGAAGTCTGGCAATAAACTCAAGAGGAGCAGGCTTGCAGTAAGCATAGCAAATAAAACATAATACTAAACATTTCAGCTCTTTAAAAGTCACTTTACTGGTTCTTACACTCTCTTAAATTGAACCAATAAAATACCACAGCCTTAAAATGATAGTCATTCACTTAAGTGGTTTAGTGGTTACTAAACTGTACTAGATTGGTATTTCTGTATAAAAACATAACTACTTGTTGTACAAAAGAGAATAGCTCAATCAGCACTGAAAGAAAAATCATCCAAACCACCATCCATCCTTCTGGCCATCAGCCTCTAATTAAGCACAGGAGAAGGCTTACCCAAAGAGCAGGAGCAGAGATGCTGGCAGACACAAAAAATACATGAGCTGCAGCTGTGAGGGGATTGTCTACAAACACATAGCAGCAGAAAGTGAAAGGGGTCTTTTATCGCCTGATGCTTCTTTGAGAATTGTTATTTACTTTTTAAAGATAATTTTACAGGATTATATTTTTGTTGTGGTAGTTTTTGATTTTCCCAAGAGCCTCTGCCATTTGCACAACACATTGCTTTCTATGATTTTAACTAAGGACAGGAGAAAAAAGTCAAAAGCATGACTGAAAAATAAGGCGTTAACCGTATCTTGTTAGAGTCATACACTTTAGATTGAGCATATAGCATTACATGGCATCAGGGGTTTTTTTGTTGTTATTTTTTGGTTTTTTTTAACAAAACATTCAGTGGGAAGAAAGCCAATTTCAATTCCAGCTTTTCCCCCCAAATTCGCCCTGCCAAAGCTCTATTAATCTGCCAGTTTCTCATTCTACCGACAGTACAGAAGTAGAAATGACCTCCTTGTTAAGTCTTATTGCAGTGAAGCATATAAAGGCTGGCGCTCCTTGGGGGAGATAAAATTGAAGGGGATATTTTAATGTGCAGCATATAAAACTGCATTTACGCAACACATTCTCAAATCAAATACCCTTTGGGTTGCATGGCCTGCCTCCTAAAATATAACAGGGCACATTATTTATTTACTTACAGTGGATATGCATCATCTCACAGAAAAGCAGGAGTGTGATTTTTAAGACAGTTATATTTTAGGAGGCAGGCCATGCAACCCAAAGGGTATTTGATTTGAGAATGTTTTTTAAAAAAAAAAAAAAAGATTGTTTCTATGGACAGCCTGGGAAATAAAGGAAGGTTTCATATATGGATTCAAAGGAATGCAGTTCCAGGGGCTAATCCCTGCATCTGTCTCCTGGACAAAAAAAGAGATGCAGAGTAGTCAGGAATCTACTAGCTTAAATATTACATTATATAAATGTATGTTAAATTAAACACAAAGACGTTGTAGTGATCAAGGGAACATTGATGGGTGAACAAAACTAGCCAGACTAGCAAGGAGGATGAGACTTGCATATCTGGGACTAGGGAAGCTTGAGGCCTGCAAATACATCCAGAATTTAAATCTGAATGTAATTACACAAAGCCATTTAATTGCTTTTTAAGAAAACATTTCTTTTGGACAGATCTAATTCATAGCTATTTAAATTGTGATTGGGAGTTTGAAARGGAAAGTCCAAACAAATCTAGCATGAAGTTTGTGGTCAAAAAAGATGACTTGAAAGTACCTACAAATTTGCCAGTGCGCCAGTAGCTAGAGTAAAAGTCTCTGCTCTGTGTTTCAGGTTGATGCTTTGGAATCAGTAAACACCAGTTGAGCAAGTTGACTAAGCCTCAGATACTCTCCTTCCATTGCAATGGAAAAATACCAGAGAAAGAGAAGGAAAAATTGTAACAGAGGTCACAACACCCACATACCAGATGAATGCTTCAAGTTCAAGGCTTCGTATTCACAGAAACTTGGTTGTCAGGAGTGAAGCAATAATTGGACCACTGGGCTCACCACAATTTTCTATTTAAGAGTGAGGACTCAAGCCATGCATTGCAGAATCTTGCTCCTACACTGCTTTGAGTGTTTGTTTGTTTGTTTTTTAATTGCAAACCAGACTATTTTAATGCAAAGGATAGACATTAAATTACCATTTTAGAAGGTGGATTTGGATGTATATTGCTTCAGGCAACCATGGATTCACCTTCTGCCTTCCTTATCTTCCTCTTGTGCCTATGTTACACAGAACAGAGGAGCAGCCCCTAGCACGGGACACTTCAGGCACATGGTGAACTTCAGAGCTGAAAACTAAGGCACACTAAAAATTACAAGTCTRTTAAACAGTGTTCACCTGGGATCTTAAAAATTTGAACTCTCAAATGCRTATGTATAAATATATGTATAAATACATATAAAATGCATACACATATTAATATACATGTGTATACATACACATACATTCACATGCTCCCCACAAACACATACACTTTTGTAGGGAATTGTAGCTACTTGGTAGCACTGACGACAAATTTTAGTCTTATCTGTTTTAACAAGTCAACCCATTACTGCCAATAAATGGGAAAAAAATGGAACAATCATTGCAAGATGCTGATGTGTGTTGTACCTATCTGTAAATAGGCAGAGCTCCATCTGCTATAAAAGTTGGAATGCAGAACTGTTTTGATTCACTAGGCACTATTAGAGAGAAGTCAAGCTAAGAAAAAGTATGAAATATTACTTACCAGACAAGAGGTAGAGATGATACAAAAAAAAATAAGTCTGCAATAGTCATTGCCTTTTTCAGCCTTCATGAAAATAAAATAAAGGTGACCTAATTAGTTTAAATAACCAAGGGCTTGGAAAAACTTGAAGAAAGAAGAAATTAAAGAGTATGATTTACACTTCAGAAATCTATAAGGATAAGCAATATAGGTCCTGCTTACCAGCCTGATCTCTGCCTCCCAAGGGCATGGGTTCACCACACAGCTGAGTGAAATTAGCAGCTCTTCCAGGAGAGAGGTCCAGCAGTCCCTTGCCATGCTGCTGTGCTTCTCCTTCATGCTGTTTCTGGCATAAAGTGATCCAAGTTTGCTCCTTTTTTTTGATGGGTTAATTTTTTTTTGTTTTCAGTCAACTCACCTCATCTCAGAGCAGCACCCAAACCCATGSTGGGAGCACATGGCCAAACACCTCCCCTTTCCTTCCTTCCAGCCACAGGGAGCTGCAGAGTCAGCTTGGGGTATAATTGAACCCACAGCCAAAGCTGTGATTTAATTGCAGCCTGGCAAACATTTGAGTGCAGAGGGGAACATCTTGTTGACAGTAATCGTCGTATTTACCATGAGAAAAGGCCTCCTTCTAACGCATCCATCTGGACATACAAATTATCAGAGGAGAGGGGATTGTGACAATGGTTGTTCCCTGTTGAGAACCAAATATAGGGTATTTTTCCCCTTGTTTACCAAGCCTTAGGTGAGAGTGGAAGCAATTAGACCCAATATCTGTCACTGCCAGATCCCACAAGGCTGCGTGCACTAATAATGAGCAACACACCTTTGAGAAGCCATTTCTGTGAGGATAGAACTAACTGTATTTGTTGCTGAACCAACATATCAATACAGTACTAATGAGCACCATTGCTGAGACATATATTCATGTCATCTTTTGACCAGAGGGCACTGGATATTATACATTTTTTCCTTGCAGTTTTTTATCGTCACAGAGAGATAAGCACTGGGTTGTCTTAAAGACACAATATGCAACCACTCGTGTTAAATACTCTTCTTTTCCATTACCTTTGGATCGGCATATTCCCTTAGTAAGTATTCAAATTAACCCCCATCCAGGATGAAAACATCATTTGTTTCATGAATAAACATTTCCCTCAACATAATGACTGAATTGGAAGTCATAGTTTATGGAAATCAAAGAACAGTTTTGTCATATTTGATGTTGGTGGATCAAAGAAATTTAAGCTAAAAGATGTGTTATTTTTTGGCAGTAATRTGAGTTATCATAGTTGTTATAAACTCCCTTGTGACTTTAGGCCTTCTTCAGAATTTGACTGTTGAGAATTAGATGCCACGCTAGTCTCTGTGGCTGCCCAGAGGYGGGCTGTGTTACCAGTGAGCTCCTGGGAAGTCTATCAGGAGGATAAACTTGTCTAGAAGGCGCCAGTACTCTGCTTTTAGGGATCACCTGGCTATGGTAGTGGTACATAGTCATTAGTGATCCTTAGCTTATTAATAGCATCAGACAGAAGTAATAATCAAATAAATACTTGCATACAAATATCTGAAAATAAACACCCAAGTAACAGAAAGGGGAAGATTTCCCTCAACAATCAGGTTGAAAAGCCCTTGAACTCTTTGGCCTATCTCTGTATCTAGCTAGCAAACTACAGGTATTTCTGTAATCCCTGTGATGAGCAACTTGTTACTGATGTTACCTTTGCCTTTGGGACTTGGTTTAAAATATCATGCTTTCTTATATAGCTTACCTTTTCTTTCTCTTTCCCACCTTAAGGATTTCCTCGGTCATTAGTCAGGAATGTGATTCAACTTTCTTCCCACCAGAACATGCCTGCCTGCTCCAGAGATGCTCATTACTGGCAACTAATGACTGCAGTCATAGATGAACTCCAAAGCGATCATTACTCACCACTACCCTCTTCTCCTTGCATGGGTGATATTCAGACCCTAGTGTGAAGCTCCTCTCCTCCCCCTTTTTTTTTTTTTTTTTTGATCTTATATTCTGCAAACCACTAAACCACACAATTGCTATTCACGCAATACAGCACGTTGCTGAGTCTCCTATGAGACCAAATGCAATGATAATCAAATCATTTTGGTAGCAGATCCTTGGGTGACTGTATCCTGCACTGTCTGGGTAGGCTACCATGTCAATAAGCAAAACAAAATAGTTAGCGGAAAAGCTTCATTTTTCAGTGTATGTGAAACTAATCAGAGGCTATGTGGTATGTTGACAATTATTTGAATAGAAACACATTAATCCAAACACTTGGATGCTCTCAGAGCTGCCTTCAGTTRTGCGCATCCTCAGCGTGGATCATCTCAAGTTGGCCTTATTTGCCTTAAGCTCTTGATTTCAGCTGTGTTACTCATTTAAAAGAAAAAGGATGTAAAGTCACACCTTCCATTTAAACTCTCACTGTCCTCCTAGCCACCTTCACGCTATTACCACATGTGTGAAAGGCACTGGTTAGTGTGAAGCCAATGTGAATTTTTGTACTAATGGTTATCCTTCAGCAACTTAGGCTACCTTTTGTCAGACAAAAATATCATCACTCTCAAGGTACAGTTTAATAACTTTAATGAGGCTCTGCAATTTACATTCAATACATATCAGCACACAAAATATAAGAAATCACATATACATATAAACTTTTTTGTTTGTTTTACAATTCAACCAGTATGAAATACACGAGCTACATTTATTCACATAACAAAATGGAACATTGATGAGCTTCATTCACTGATCAAATATTTCTACAATTTATGGACCAACATTTTTCTGCAGTTACTAAAACAACTATTTCTCTTGAACAACAAATAATTTATGTCAACAGATACATTGGCATCACAGTCTATGAAATTAAAAGGTCAGACTGAGCATCAACTTAACACTCTCACAGATATCAGTAGAAGCGACATGAAGCAATGGTGTCTGACTTATATCAGCACCAGCTCTGTGAGTGTTTTATCAGCTCTATAAATGAGGAATTAAATCACATAAAAAATTGGGGTTTTTTAACTTCATTTCATTCAACAACCACTGGGTGATTTAACCCACTTATTTCTATCCTTTTTAAAGTAGGAAGGAAGTAATTTTTAAACCAAAAATTAAAATATTTAAACCTTTTATTTTTTATTTTTTGACTCAAATTGTTCTCACATACAAAATGAATTTGTATTTTGTAAACAGTTTTGGTCCCTCAGTCTGCCTCCTTGATGGAATAATTTTTAACTGCTTCATCCAAATATACCAACAATTCACTAATGAAGCTATTTGAACATAAGCATGTAAAAAATAAAATTTACATCTTAAAACAATCTCTCTGCTACAAGGTCTCCGCTAATCTCTTTTTTGCTTTTAAGCAAAGTACAGTCACAAAAATTAAAGCTTTTTCTAGCAGCATTAAATCAAAGGGTTCCTTGCTGGAAAGGAACTGGAAACTTCCTTGTACCATCAATTACATTGGATAGACTCAGCACTTAAGACACAGACCCCACAAAAACTGAGCACCCAGTTTGCTTTAACAAACAAACACACACTGACAGTGAGGTTACCTGCAAAGGTGCTCATCTGTTAACACAAAATTTTAATGTGAGACAAGTGTGACCATTTATAAATTAAGCAGATGTGCCTTACAGGCATTTCAATATATGTATTCAATACATGAGGTGAACTCATTAGGAAACTTGCCTCAGCCAGGAGAAAATAAGACTATTCTTTATACAGACTGCAAAAGTTTATGTCTGTCTGTTAGTCAAAACCTAGTGAAAGGACTAAAAACTGATCGATAGATCTAAAAATGTAACAGTAAACAAGCTGAGCTGATCTACTTCTAATTCCCATGGGGATCACACGGTACCTAACAGTTTATCAGGGATTCGAAAGCAACATTTCCACTGATAAAGTTTGCATCTCAAAAATTGGCAGAACAGTAAATACTTAAGAGCTCAAGTCACTGAACCAAACCAACTAGGTCATTTAGCAAGCTGGACACAAGCAAAGTGCCTTTTATAAATCCAAATGGAAAAATTCAACGCCTAGAAGCAAAGAGTAYCCTTATGGAATGGATGGTGGACTTAGCCCTAGGAAACAGCAACTCCAAAAAGGACTTCAGGGTATCATTCATAGTTACAACCTACCCCTCTCTAAAAACACCTTGGAAACCATCTTCTCATTTGARTGTGTTCTTAAGAATTTTGGCAGGATTCTTAAGAAGCTTGTGTACTTTACTGTGTGTAAGGAACTCTGTTCACTTAAGTACCTGGAATGAGAAATACATGACGATTTATCATTATTTTATTACTAGTTTTGGAAGGAATGCATTCCAAAGTCACTTAAAACATTCAAGTGCATCTTCTGGAGTAGCAATATCAAAATGGTAAGCAACAAAAGCAAACCACTCACAATTTTAAACAAATACCAAACCACTGAGCCTTACAAGGATTCATGTAGGGTACTGCCAGTGTATGATCCTTGCCTCCATCATTTCTTCATACACCGTGTTTAATTTCATTGCCCTGTAATGCTGAGCGGCTGTAGATTTATTTGTTTGGAACTTACCGGTGACTCAGATATTGCTGCAACCTTTAAAGAATTCTTGATGGAGCTGAGTTCCCACATGTGCAAGTTTATGATGYTCATGCCACAACATCCTCTGGTAATCTTGTACAGGTTTTTAAGTACAGCTTTCCTAAGAAGAATGTATACCCAGGGGTCTAAAATCTGATTCCACGTTGCCATTCGGAGAGCAAAAAGTATTGTTTCGCAGGTGTCCTTTGAATGATTTTCATTTATCCCAATTCTAGCCATAGTCACCTGAAAAATGGAATTTTTTTTAGTTATATAACAAAAGAGTACATCACAAGATTGTGTAAATGTGTGAAATCATTTCAAGATTATCTTTTATCTTCCTGCCTTCAGAGCATTATATTTACAAAATAAACACTTTTGTACATGTAACATTATTCTAGAAAACACCTCGTATTTTATAAAGGGCGTACATCTATGTCTACTGAGCTACCACTGATCAGACTTGAGCAGAGGATGGCAATCAGCCAGACAGCATCCTCCAAAAATAAGGATGGATTTGTGCAAAGATTAACAAATTAGCCAGAATTTGAGGTGGCAAAGCAGGACAAGGCTATTCCAGAACTGACTTTTTCAAGCATATAGGCCACTGTTGTCCCAGACCAAAATATTTTCACAAAGGGTTTTTACTTTTTTTTTCTTACATTTTCCAAATTAAAAAATCTGCCCAAGGAATATAGAACCTTGATTTCATCAAAAAGCTTCATAATCATAAAAGCTTCATAAATCTTAAGCTGCAACAGAACACAGTTCATTTACCTCAAAGAAGAAGGGGTTCATATGTTTCTACCACAATTCAAGTCACGGTGACAAAGGCCACCGCTTTCTCTCCTCTTGCTAACGGGGACAGAGAGGGCTTCATTCACCTGTGGAGGCAACAGAAATGCTGCACATGGACACACCTCACCAGCCTATCATTGACTCWGTGGTTTCCCATCACTAAGGGCACTCATTTTGCAGCACATCTCAACAGGATTGCTGCTAGCCGAGGATATCCAAAAGCTACGGTAACTCTCTACAGCTTCCCAAGTAATGCCTGTCTTTGCAGAGCTGCAGCCTAAGCTGTGAAATACCAGACTTGGTGAAAATCAGGCTGATGGTGGCTCATGCCCTGCAGAGACCTCCTTTGTGGGCATTCTGCCACCAAAGTTTTGTAACCTGAGTTCCTGTGTGAAGAACACCCAGCAGTGCAAAGCCAGGAATCTGCCAGTAGATGGTAAATTATCTATCTCTATTATTAATGCTAAAAGCACATGAAGACTTTTTTGGTAGAAGGATGAAACACTATAAGGCTTTTAGTTCCAAAGCCTTTAAAGTGATAGAGTAACTAAGAAACAGGGTATTTTCCAGCTAATGCTATGAGTTATTGGGCACTGAAAGGTAGGGTCAGTCTGTCCAGTCCAAGGACTGGTATTTGCACAAGATATGTTACAAAAAAAGAAGATTAAAAAAAAATGAAAAAGAGGAAATGCAGAGAGAAAATGCAGAGCAGTAGCTACAACTCAAGAATCCAGTAAACCTCTCTTATTTTTTTGCAAGTAATTCACTGTATTCCTGGGCCCTGCCTACACCTCACAATATCTGTGTATAAACATGCAGCCTGCAGCAGAACGAACACATAAAATGAAACTGCACATCTTTGCTTGAGGATTTGGTCAAGCATTTCTATATGGACATCTGTGGGAGCAAAGACGAGTCCCAGAAATGTTCTTAGGGAAGCTGGTAAGACTGGCAGCTGCACAGTTGGGAACCAGCAGAAGGAATGTCTGAGCATCATGCCAACACAAACAGTTATAATTCAGTTCCCTGAATCTGCTTTTCACCCTACCACTGTTGGGTGCATTCCTTRCTGACATCAAACTTGGACAACTCCGTTGGCTCCTTCATGGGATGTTTTCTCAGGACGGTCCTACATTTTATTCATCAGAAGTCCCACACTGCAAACCAGACTCAAGTAGGTCTCTTCCTGCTCATGCAAGCAGACCTGGGCATGGGACAACAGCACTATAGATTTCACATAGCAGTGACTRTTTGATTTATTTTATATTTTCCTTAATACAGACATATAGCTTGCTGACCTACTTCTTGATGTTTGTGTGTGTTCTTCAAAATTCCATTTTCTTCTTCTTGTCTTGCATTCTGTAAATTAATAAACGCCACATCCAATGGAATTGTACACTTGTACAAGGAGGCAGCAAAGATTTCCATCTAAAAATAGTTTTTGTAAAACTGTATTGTTTTCTCACATGTTATCTAGCAAACTTCTGAGATTTTTTTCCATATAGTATTAATCATCTCTAAATTATTTTTTTTTTTATGTTTAATTTGCTGGCAAAACAAAGTCCCATTGTTTTGATTATAGATTTACCATGGATTATGGATTTTCCTCAGGACAAGGAAATTTGGTATATAGTTGTATGTATTTCAACACTTGGAGAAGCTTCATCAGCAGGACTTCAAAGTTATTCTTTGTGAATACTGGATACGCACAAAGTAATATATTTAAACTCATAAGTAGCAAGTAAAGCTTATTTACATAACTAAATGCTTAAGAAACTCAGCTGGGAATCCCATTACTGGAAGTATTGATACAAAATAGGTTACCTATAGATTTTGTTTCATACAGTGAGATTCTTTTAACTGTGTTATTTAAATTATTGGGGAGTATTATTCAGAATTAAAATGCTGCTTACTTGTATTACCAAAAGCAATACAAAATGTTAGCCTGACTTTTAAAGCTCTATGAGCTAGAGATTACCATACAGGCCTGAGCTAACACAGATATCCCAGTCCAGTTCCAGGCATTTTATCCCAAAATTCTTATGGCAGAGTAGCAGTAGTGACAGACATGTTACCATAAAATTGCCCCTAGTTGTGAAGTCAGACAGTTTCTCCACTTCTCCAAAGAGCTTACATTATACTGGGAGCTCTTCCACATCTTCTGAGAAATAAAGTAAATGGAAGACAGGCAAAACCAACTGCAAGCTTATACTAGCAGAGGGAAGTCAAACGGGAAAATATACGTTGGCTACTGGAGCATTTCTACAAAAGTAGTCTCATGAATTGCAGAACAATACTCTAAACTCCATCTAAAGAAGGGCAGAATGAAGACTTGCTACTTTATCATATTTTTTGTTTCAATATTTTTCTTTAAATTCAAAAATACTAAGACATGTTAAAATAATAAACAACAAAAAGGCCTACTATGCTACCATCTATTTAAAGTGCTTGAATTAAAASATTCAAACAGCCTGTATTTGCTCCATATGTTTATGAAGGCCGTGCCCCTCAACCGGCAGAAGTCACTGGCTCAGGAACTGCAACAAGAGCTGCCGCACTAAACTAACGTCTGAGAGTGGCACCTCTTCTCCAGGCACACAAAGGACGCTTATTTTTCTTCTTACTTCAGTAATTGTGTTCAACAATAAGTAAAGGCATGAAACCAACTCAAAAACTATTATTTTTCCTATCCTGTAGGCTCATCAGGTTAGTATGATTAAGGAATTCTGCTCTCTTCCCTATAGCAATGAGTACATAGGCAGGGAAGTGAGAAGAAGCAATGTGATTATGTTCGTATCTGGTTGCCCTTGATATCTTTAACTGAATTTAATACCCACACAGATTCAGCAGTTTGAATCAAAYAAAAATCCTTATCTGCTACATAAATAACTCAGAATATTTTTATTAGGAATCTGAGTAGTATTTTGTTAAGCTATATATTATTTACATGCATACAGCTGCAGTATGTCTCCCTGGTTTGGAAAAAAAAAAAAAAAAGTACCATACGATAAAACAAGTACAATTCAACCTTTCTTTAGGAATGTAACTATAACAACATCAGTGTAAAACAATAACTTTTTAAAACAAACCTGCCTGCTTGTAGGACATAAAGTTGTTCTGACTCATGTTAGTCCTTGCTGGCTTAAGGAAAGACCTGAGATTTCCCTGTCCCTAAAAATAAATAGAGAGAAGTCCAAATATGTGTCAGGCAAGAACTTGACACACTACATTAAACACTGACGTTCGTTTTTTCCAAAGTCAGGTTTCACAAAACACCAGCTTACTTTGCAAGATCCAGAAAGTCTGATGGAAAGTTTGAAAACATTCTCAAATTGTTGACTTCTTCAATTTTACATCTAGGAGACAGTATCAAAGAATTGCCACTGCCCAGAGGGATAAAACTCAATGCAGCAAATTGAAAAAAAAATAGGTCCAAAGCTTCACACCATTCCAAATATAAACATCGTGTCTTTGATTTTCCTTCCAATTGGATCTCAATTATATGAGAACAACTAATAAGCTAAATGGCAGTGCCGCTTACTCGCATTCCTGTTAATACTCAACGACAGCCAGGCAAAACAAGAAGCAGACTTTACAGTTGGTTAGGAAATAAGAGAAACTGTGTTACTACTTTGATGCCTTTCAGCTTAGAGACTCTAAAACCAGACCCTATCCTTGGCTTCAGGAAACTGTATAAAAACAGGTCACCAAGAGGTTGTTTTGGAAAGCAGACAGGCCAGTCTTGTTTTGTGCAAACATACATATCAAAAATTCTCTTCTCTGTAGATCAACCTTCACAGACTCCAACTATTCCTCCTTTGTACCCCTGTGGGAACCTTGCAGAATCTTCCCAACTCCTTCCTCTTCCTTTGGGTTTTRTTATAAGCATAATCCACTTTAACAAGCTAATCTACAGAAGAAGTCACGTTAATGGAAGACCACGGCGTGACTCTTTCAAAACTTGCAGAGTATTTCTCTTTTGTCAYTGATAAATCCAGAGGCGTGAATGTCCTTCCCCTGAACTACACAGGAAACCTGGTGGTGTTCTGCTGACTTTGATTCACTCCATCGAAATGAGAATTATTTTATTATTTTGAACTTTTAGAAGTTTTCATAACTTCCTTATCATAGGTGCTGCAAACAAGTTGCAGCCTGCTGTAAGCAAGAGCTGACTAGAAGATGATATTTTGCAGTGCTTTCATAATACAGAATTTAAGAAAAAATGCAAAAGGAAGGAAAGAGAGAGAGAGAAAATTGGAGTTAAAAAATAAGTACTTGCATCAAATTACCTATACTATTGCTATATAAACATTATAGTATGTAAACAAAGTATTTGCAACAGAGCAGAATATACTTTATTTTTATTTGATTCTGTATATATCAGTTTAAGGGAACTTCCAGTGGTACAGCACCACTTYTGTCGCCACAGTGTAAACATATATGCTGTG